TCTTTCTAAAAAAAAAAAAGTGTACTAAATTATTTTAATCCAGTGTTTCTCAACAGTTTCGATAGCTCGGTGAAATGTATACCCGACTACAAAGCAGAGGGTACCGGGTTTGATTCTTACCATGGGCAATAAAATTTTCATAATGTGAATATCACATCTTAAGTTTTCTAAAACTTTCTCAAAAATTTTCTAAGTTCTTTCCTCAGTAGAGGCGCGGAAAAGAGGAAAAGAACATAATGAATTTTGTTTACAAACATCTCTTGTTTACTCAACAGAACATGCTAATTTACGAAAGTGTAAAACAACTAGCATTTACTTGGATTGAAATAAAAATATTTCATTAATAAAATCATTATATAGGCTATTTATAGTGCCTATATAATTAGGGCCCCGCTTGGCGGGCGCCCTATAGTGATCAGTCTGTCCGTCCGTCCGTCCGAGATCTCTTGTCCGGAGCATATCTTCTCTCTCCTTGGCCCAATCTGGCTCATACTTCACCCAAAGAGTGCCTTTTGGTAACCGGTGTGCAGTGAATTTGAACCAGGTATCTATTTTAAAGGTCAAGGTCATAGCAGAATTATATGAAAAATTATTGTCCGGAGCATATCTTCTCTCTCCTTGGCCCAATCTGGCTCATACTTCACCCACAGAGTGCCTTTGGGTAACCGGTGTGCAGTGACCTTGAACCAGGTTTTTAGGTCAAAGGTCAAGGTCATAGCAGAATTATATGAAAAATCCTTGTCCGGAGCATATCTTCTCTCTCCTTGGCATAATCTGGCTCATACATCACCCACAGAGTGCCTTTGGGTAACCGGTGTGCAGTGACCTTGAACCAGGTTTTTAGGTCAAAGGTCAAGGTCATAGCAGAATTATATGAAAAATCCTTGTCCGGAGCATATCTTCTCTCTCCTTGGCCCAATCTGGCTCATACTTCACCCACAGAGTGCCTGAGGGTATCCGGTGTGCAGTGACCTTGAACCAGGTTTCTAGGCCAAAGGTCAAGGTCATAGCAGAATTATATGAAAAATCCTTGTCCTGAGCATATCTTCTCTCTCCTTGGCTTAATCTGGCTCATACTTCACCCACAGAGTGCCTTTGGATAACAGGTGTGCAGTGACCTTGAACCAGGTTTCTAGGTCAAAGGTCAAGGTCATAGCAGAATTATATGAAAAATCCTTGTCTGGAGCATATCTTCTCTCTCCTTGGCCCAATCTGGCTCATACTTCACCCACAGAGTGCCTTTGGGTAACCGGTGTGCAGTGACTTTGAACCAGGTTTCTAGGTTAAAGGTCAAGGTCATAGCAGAATTATATGAAAAATCCTTGTCCGGAGCATATCTTCTCTCTCCGTGGCCCAAACTGCCTCATACTTCACCCAGAGAGTGTCTTTGGGTAACTGGCATGCAGTGATTTTGAACCAGATTTCTAGGTCAAAGGTCAAGGTCATAGCAGAATTCTATGAAAAATCCTTGTCCGGAGCATATTTCTCTCATGTTAGCCCAATCTGGCTATTACTTCACTCAAAGAGATCCACTGGTCAATGGATATGCAGTGACCTTGGTCGAAGTTTCTAGGTCATGGTCAGAATTACCCTCTCTGTTTAAAATCTTTGGTGCATAATTCTTTCCCTTTAATTCCAGTAAATTTATATAACTGGGGATACAAGATAACTTCGATATTTAACGGTAAATTTGCAATATCCGTGAAGTTGTACTAAATGACCTTTTACTGTATTACACAAATGTTCCTCTTCAAAATGATCCCTTTTAAACTACCTTACATTTTCCTGTTCATTGTTGAACGCGGGGCCCTTTGAGATGGCCACCATCTCAATGATATCTAGTCTGTTCTATAATCTGTAAAGCGCAAACAGTTCATAACACTACATATTCAACAGATTTGAGGCTGTATTCACCAGAGGGTCATTGCGCATGCAGCAGCATTGTTTTGTTTTGAACATAGTTTATTGATATCAATCAAAAGGATTGGAAACATGTTCAAAATAACTTAGTGAATTCCTCTCCTTGTGATGTCACAACACCTCAAACAACTTTGTAAACAATGGTTGCAACTGCAGCAGCCAGCTATGTATCTAAGCAGGATAAATGATAGAAAACCTATTTCAGGATTATTTTGAAACATTTGGACATCTTACATAGCAAAACTTTGAAAGGAAAAAAAAAAGGGGTGGACCACAAAAGATTATCAAAATTTCAGAAAGGAAAATATAGGGGGAAGAAAAGCAAAGCCATGATTGGTCATATTTATATGGAAGCATCTTGAGGTAGTGTAAATTCAAATTTGTTCAAATCGTAACACCTGGGGGGTAGAGTGGAGCCTCAAAGGATGAGCAAAACATTAAGAGGAGTATACAGGAAAAATCTTTTCAAGAACAGCAAGGCCTATATTGCTTTTTATATTGCTTTTAATTAGTAAATTCAGGTGACCTATTGCAATCCGTTTTTGTCCGTTGTCGTGCGGTGCGCCTTGTGTGTTAACATTTGAACATTTTCAGCTTCTTCTTTAAACCACTTAACCAATTTCAACCAAATATGGCATTTATGAGTGAAGAGGAATGAAAATTGTGAATTCCATGGCCCTTGCTCCCCCCTCCCCCTGGGGCCTGAGGGGTGGGGCCAAACCACTAGAATTAATGCAATCTTTAAAAATCTTCTTCTTTAGTCCTGGACATCAAGCAGTCAAAATGTTGGCATGATTGTAATCAGCATTGAGTCCTCTACCGTAATTGTGAAATTCATGGCCCCTGGGTCAGGGGTTCCAGTGTTAGGGTGGGGCTAAATAGATTATATACTAGTGAAAATGCATTATTTCTTTGAAAATCTTCTTTTCTTCTCCTGGGCATTAAATACCGTATAACGGGTATTTTTTATGTGCTGCTAATTTTTACGAGTTCTATAAATCCGTAAAATTTAAACGCGTAAAATTTCACAAAAGTAAAAAAAAACGCCTGGCCTAAATTTTCAACATCGTATGTATGATAGTATCGGCTATAAATGCCATTTAACTCAATACCTTCAGGCTAGAATTAGTACTGTTGGTATTTTTTAGCACTTTTAAATTGATCATAAATTAGGATCAAACAAGTAACCGTATTTGGGGGAATATAATACGCACCTTTTTCCTAAAATAAGTTTCTGTGAGAAAGGGATGCGTATTTTACATCATAATGGGATTTTAATAAGTTTTTCTTTCAGGTGAAACACGGCTATCATACATACATACCGTAGTATTCCTTTAATAGAGACATATGCAATTTCTTTTGTTTATCGCCAGATTTTAAACTTTGGAAAATTATTGTTGGAAGGTATGCTTGTTAAAAATGTCACTTTCATAATCTTTTGATACTAAAATAACATGAAAAAGCAAGTTAAAAGTAATTTGAGCTGCATGTTGATTGTCTCCGAGTAGGCCGCCATTACAGATGTTATTTTTAGACGTTCACTTGTGCCTGTGTCACGTGCTTCCGTAATGATAGGGCACATGTATGCACCTTATCTGCCAGACAAAGTAATAAGTCATTTTTTAATGAAATACAATAAAATAACAATTTATTTTAAATAAAACAATGAAAATCTGCTGCAACATAAACACCCCTCCATACGTCCCAATGCAAGGAAGCTAATGTTGTGACACACGTGCGCTGGTCAAATGATAATTACATATCACCCATCCGGGCAATTAATTGTCTACCGACTCCAAAGCAATGTTTTTACAGTTAGAGCACTGATTATTTACTGTCCTGTTAATTGCTTTGATTATTTTCTTTGTTAAAAATTGGGGTCGGTTTATGACCTTTCCTATGTGTGAGCATGTGTTGATTACGACACATTAAACAATTAAAAACTTGTTAAATGTAATTTTACCTTATCTTATACTTATCGGCCTCTTGTTTAAATGATTGAGAGTTGACAAATGAAATATGAATTATGCTAAAACTTCAGTGTTATCATTTATTCGTGCTCTTTAGAAAATAAGATATCTGCAAAGATTCAGAAGAGGAAAATCGTAGTCTTCTTAATTAAATAAATACTTTGATGTTTCAATTTCGTTCCCTGTTAAAGTATTGTAATATAATTTTCAGCATGATTACCTAGAACCAAAATTAAATATGACAACTGTTAAAACTTTCAACAATATCTCATGCTTTGCTGAAATAAAATTATTTCCCCTAAGAATATGACGACGCATAATTTGAAAATCACCGTAACTATGCTTAAAAAAAATTCTGTTCATACTTTTACGCAACATTATCTTGTGCTTTGTTGAAATAAATGAATAAATAATTTTCTCCAGATTGCCGCGATATGGAATGTCAGGATTAAGAGAAAGTTATAAAGTGTGTATTTTTAAAAAAGTGTGTTCAGTAAATTTTTGGCACTTAATCCTCTGCCGATTTTTGTAACAAATTACCGTGATTTTCAAAGTTCAGAACATGGCTTGGTAAAGTTTTCTGTTGCGGATAATACATCCGAACTGTTTTTTACCCGTTTTTCAAAGTCCCGCTATATGGCATTCACAATTTTGAAAGGGCTGATCATCATAACAATAAACTTAGCGTTTTTTTCCCCAGTTTCAGACTCAAAAAGGGGGGTGCGTATTTTACATCAATGCGTGTTATACTCAGCCAAATACGGTAATCCTAATTAACGCATAAAACATCGACAGTTTCTCAATTACCTTGTTACTTTTACAAGACGCATAATATCTGATAATGATGTAATTATTACAGATCTTCAAAGTATACCCGTTTTTCAAAGTCGTTTAAAACATGAATCAAATTCAATCATAAAAAAGTTGTAACATTATTCAATTTATTAATGCATAATTTGCATTCATTAATTGAAAAATCAAGTAGGGCATAAAATAGATTGTAGTAATAATTTTGAATTTAGAGGTTCTGACCAAACTTATCTCAAAAGCTGACAAGTGACATTGGAATGTAATTCCTGACACACAACACAACTAGAATCACAGACATTGCTATAGAGAGGAAAGGAACAGAAATGCAGACTGTCCTGTGTGTAGTGCCAATTTGAACAAGCTAGGAAAACGCCTACCCTATGCACATTGTGCCAATTCAAAATTGATCTGTTCAATATCGGGCCTTCCACTTAATGAAAACAATCCTCCAATGGCATTACCTAATGGGCATGTATATGGTTACAACGTAAGTATGCAATATCTTTTTATTGAGTGCATTGTGACTTTGTATAATTTGTCCTACCTGGACTAATTTCAATCAAAAAGTTTGTCACAGTGACCTACTTAAGGAATTTTATAGCTACAAGGACCAACTTAGAGGGCAACTGAGGCGAAATTGTTTAATTGATTAAAATATAGATTTCAAAAGTGATTGGAAAAATGATTTCAATAGTGCTTTAAACAATGATTTTAATGGATATTAAAATAATTAATACATGCAGTTGCTGACAATGATTTCAATACAAAAACCACATTGCAAGCTAATTCATTGAGTTAAAACATGGTAACAAAAGTTGTTTCGTTTTCGTTTTTATAGAAAAATCAATGAATACACGGACACTTTGTATTATACTGACTGACCTATAATTCAACATGTATGCAAATGTTATAAACAAGCTCATGCTGAATCTCGCCGAATCGAAATGACGGAAGAAGAATTTTTTGATAAAAAGAATTTAGTATAAATCTAAATTGTTCATGGGATTGCCTATACTACAAATACGGATAGTAAAGCCAATGTCTACTCGTCAAGAGACAAAGTCGAAAAAGTGTTACAAATTTTGAAATTCGTGATACGTCTATTTTCGGGCCATAGCGAGCGCCGACGTGCGGCCCTTCTGATTAAAATGCAATACGTTATACATATCTACAGACTTTGGTGTATCATACCTGAAAGTTTCATGTTTCTATCTTGAGCCATTATTGAGAAAGTCTGCGGACAAATTGACCCTTCAAAAATCATAAAATCGGCAATATCTCCAAACCGGAAGTGACGTCATCAAATCAGAAAAAAATGCATAAGGTTCAAGTAATGTAACATAAGTCCTGAAAGTTTCATGAAAATCCATCGAGCCGTTTTTGAGAAATCGCGTGCACAAAATCGGTAAGAAAAAAAAAGAATAATAAAAGTGGAAAGAAACCTAAGAATAACAAGAAGGTCTTCCGCTGAAGACGGAAGACCTTAAAAACAGTGGAAAAGAAACAAACGAATAACAAGAAGGTCTTCCGCTGAAGACGGAAGACCTTAATAAGAAACAGAGTAAAAACAATATGTTCCCCAACTTCGTTTGGGGAACATAATAAATGAATTAAAAATGCTGGAGAACATGAAGAACCATTATTAATCCTTGTAATTTTTAATAGTTAAGTTATTTTAATAAGTCTTGCAATGTGGTTTTAGTATTAATCATCAGCAACTATCGACATAATTATGTAAATCACTTTTGAAATCATTATTTCAATACTATTGAAAACTTTTTTTTTCAAATGTGAACATTATTTCAGTAGTGATTGTAACCTATGGTTTGGTATTGAAATGAACTCTCATCAACTATTCAACTGTTAATTTCAATAGTGGTCGTATTTCGATAGTGGTTACATACTATGTATGTTATTGAAATGCTTTCTCGCCCACTATTGAAATAATTCTTTCAATAGTGGTCGTATTACAAAAGTGGTTGAAACCTGTGGTCATTATTGAAATGCACTCTCACCCACTATTGAAATTATTATTTCAATAGTGGTTGCATTCAATAGTGGTTATCATCTAAAGTTATTGAAATGCACTCTCAACCACTATTGATATAATTATTTCAATAGTGGTTGTATTTCAATAGTGGTTACTTACTATGTTTGTTATTGAAATGCACCCTCAACCACTATTGATATAATTATTTCAATAGTGGTCGTTATTTCAACCCCCGTTTTAAATTTGCTTGTGTTTGCCAACTCAATGAAAAACTCACTTGTGACTAAAATATGAAGATTTTTTTTTTTAAATGCACCGAAAAATCGCACAGAAAAAACACCTAAAGTGTAAAATGCCGTAAATAGGAAATCGGCAGAAATACATGTAGGATGAAATGAAATGATATTCATGTATCGTCTGCGTAAGGAATATATCACATGCTAAAAAATGATTGTATAGTTGTTTTTTTTCTGAAAGTCAACAACGCTTTCCCACAATCAAACATGGCTATTCGCTAGGCCGTTGGACGCTCTCCAACTTTATACAAGCAAAGGACACCGCATGAGAGTGGGCGGGTCCTAATCAACCAATTAAAACGCTTGTTTTATAAAACGAAATCCGTGATTCAAATTGTTTAATTGTCAAATCCAACAGTATTATCACTCAGCACAATGCTATTTCGGCCGGAGTGTATACTTTGAAGCGAGATTTGCGATATTGCATTAAATATGGGTGTCATTTTTCTATGACCCTCTCTGTTTCAGTTTACTTGTTAATAAGTTTTAATTTACTCTATTTCAGTCGCTCTCTGATTTAGCCCGCTTAAATGAGGGAAGGGTGGTTTGTCCAAGGACCAGAGAGATTTTCCACCTAGACGAGGCAGAGAAAGTGTTTGTTATGTAATGGTTAAACAGAAGAAAAAAGACATATCCATTAGAATTATATACCTATATGCTGTACTTATGTTCAATCTTTCCGTGCTATTATGCAAAAACTACACAGTGATATCTGTATGAGCCAAATTACTCCAAGATGTACCCTGATAGTTATGAGCATGTATAAATGCAACAAGAAATTTTAAAAAAAAAAATATCTATATGAATTTTCTTAATGTACAATACATGGTTGAAACCATTAATTAACTTTCATGAATGTTTTCATAAGAATGCTGGGAGTAATTTTCAATGGAGTCTGCTTGTAATTAACCCATCATGTAAATAAATTCCTTGATTAAATTGAATATGCTTGGGGAAGTTTCTTTATAATTATAGAAAAAATGATCTTTTTCTTTACTTTTTAAGTCACCTGAATCACCCAGGTGACCTATTACTATCTGTTTTCACATGTCATCGTATGTCAGTAGTAAACTTTTGAACATTTTAAGCTTCTGTGAAACCACTGAACCATTTTCAACCAAATTGGTATAGTACAGCATCTATGGGTGAAGGAGAACAATAATTGTGAATTTTATTGTCCCAGCCTCCCTGGGGCCTAAGGGGTGGGGCTAAAACCACCAAAATTAATGCAATCTTTAAAAATCTTTTTCTTCACTCCTGGACATCAAGCAGTCAAACTGTTGGCATGATTGTAATAAGCATTGAAACCTCTACCAAAATTAAGAAATTCATGGCCCCAGGGTCAGGGGTTCTAGTGCTAGGGCGGGGCTAAATAGATTATATTGTGAAAATGCATTATTTCTTTGAAATTCTTCTTCTCTGCTCCTGGGCATTAAATAAACTAACCAAGTGCATAGTTGAGTTGAAAATGATTGCCTCTTCTAAAATTGTGAATTTCATGGCCCCTGGGTCAGGGGTTCTAGTGCTAGGGTGGGGCTATATAGATTATAGCTGCAGATCTGTAGCGTTATGGTTTTATATACTAGCGGAAAAAAGAAACGGTGCATGATAAAATTTAGTAACTTTTTTCTATATTTATTGCTTATTTTAGTTAAGTGTAAGTAGTAGTTACCCCATATCATACCACTCGATGGGCGTGGTCATAATGACACGAGGGAGCGTAGTTCCGAGTTGTCATTATGACCACGCCCATCGGGTGTCCGCACATAATCAACAGTATGATATGGGGTAAATGACTTGTACCATAGTTTTCAAAAATCATTCATTTGTAAGTCAGCTTAAGAATTGGTCTGACTGGTTCGTGTGATTGAAACATTAATGCTTGGTATCAATTATACATGTGGATTTTATAAGCTTTTACGCTAATTCGTGTCCTTCCGACCACCTCCATCGAGTACAGGGTAAGTGATTTGTATAAAATACTTTTCAAAAATTGATTGTATGTTGTTTAACGTTCTCCTCAAGAATTTTTCACTCATGTGGAGACGCCACGTCATGCCGGTGGAGAGCTACAAATTTTGTCCTTTACTCGGCAGTAAGGGATCTTCTTCGCGGCAACACCTTCTGCAACACGGGACCTATGTTTGTATGGTCTCCACATCCCACAATGGGATTCGACTCCTTACTTCGTGACCCTAGGGCAGGCGCTTTAACCGCTGCACCATGCAGGCGACATAAAAGTTCAACATATCTTAAGTCCGTTTAAAAAGTTTGTCTGATTTATGTAATTGAAAAATTAACGAGTTTGGTTTCAATGAGATGTGTTGATTTGATTTTTTTTTCTCATAAATTTCTATCGTCAAAATTAAATAATGTAAATTTATTTTGAACATGGTTTAAATAATTTTTTTTAACCCGATACATACTTTGTCGTGCACAGTGCACGTTGATTGAAATGTTTGTTAGAGGTTATGTATATTTCAATTTAATGAAAATTAGATCTTTGATCGGCTAGATCCGCAATCGAAAACTTTATTTACGTACAGTAGTGTACACTTTTGTTTTTACTTCATGTTTGTACTGTGTTTCCTTTGTTGGTTATCAAAAGAACGATATTGGAATTTACTAAGCTAACGTCACCCTGGTCATGACACTTAGATTTTTTTTTTTAAATCAAGCGATTTCTGAAGTTTTTTTTAAACTAAAGTTAAAGTATTGATGTCCGTTTTAAATTGTTAATTATTACACAATGCTCTCCACAATTGATATTTTTTACTCGCCTGAATTTGGCATAACAAGCCCAGTTGTTTCATTTAAAAATTGTGCATGACTGTATAGTTCTTTTGTCCCGGTTCGATGGGCGGAGTTAGAGAAAAGTGTGGGTTATGTACAGAAAACGCACACTTTTAACAAAAGAAATCACACCTAACTATGGTACAAACAATCGATAAATGTGGCGTTTTTTAACAATATCGGATAGTATCCGGCTCTGATGCACGGGCTTTTCATGGTTAGTGAGCACAAGTTGTTTATTGACGTGTTCGTATGCACAAGTTTTACTGGCCAAAATTGTTTGGAGAGAGAACTGTATAATGCAGGTGTCACAACAGTATTAATTTCTGCTATATATTCTTACCAAAAATGCGCAAGTTTGAGTAGATGTAACTAATTCAAAACAAACTTCTGAGAAGTTTCCTTTTCAGATCTTGTAAAACCATTCTTTATAAAGATTTTAGTACCAAAAAATACATAGCCATCCAGCAAGGCACGCAAGTTTGTTTCGGTCGAAGTCGAGCAGGTGCTTGAAAATCGAGTCCAGGGCCTAATCACTCCCCACTCTTGACAGTATACAGAAAAATCAGCACGCCCTAAATTTTAATAAATCTGGTCAATACAGGAAGTTTACATGTTGTTTTTCATCTCATAAAAAAATTCAGCTCCAGTCTCGTATCAAAATGCCCGAATCGGAAGGGAAGATTCCGGGATTATTTTCCGTCAGCCATGATTTGACGTGAACCAAAGTGTAATACTGTTCTGACCCCATAAGTAGGCCTTTCAACTGCCGCTAGGGTTCGCTGTTATTAACGATAACTCGTTGCTGAATCTTGTTTAGAGCAGGTCCTAGGTATCGAACTGTTTATAGACAGGTCAGTTTTTAGCATTTCCCAAGTGTTTCTCTGCTGTCAGTAGAATCCAGTGGTTTTAAAATTTAGCACTAATGTTAAACTTATTTACTATAAAGTTGCAGACACCGTTAAATTACATATAAGTAAAATTTTTAATTAAAATAAAAAATGAAGTCTACCCTCCTTCGAAGTCTTAACCTAATTTAATTTTTGTATTCAGTCTTTCTTCTTCGTGCTTAGTAACACAAGTAAGATAATCAATTGCTGCATTTACTCGTAAAAATATATATGTTCATATAGGAAGCGCAAAAGCGCGAAAACAAAAAACATGACATTATGTTTTCTTCATAACAATCGTCAAAGAGAGTTAAAAATATTGAATATAGTCTGTTCCTCATTCATTTGACCCTGTTATTTCAGGTAGAGTGAAGACATTCTCTTTCTCTTGGTCAACACTTTTGTGTAACAAAACATGCAATGTAAGGAACCGGTTACCCTTTTGTGTACATATCAATACCAGTTCTGAAGCAGCCTATATGTCATTCCTGTAAACGATAACTCATAAATCGGCACTTAGCTGGTCAGTTTTCACACCTGAGTTACCTGTCCTTAAAACACAACATCGAAGTAGTCATTTACAAATAATTAAAATTTTTAATAATTTAATTAAAGGCGTGCATAAGTTATCTTTTTTGATAATTTTATGTACCTATAAATCAGTCTCTGAAATGTTTTTTAACATATGTGCAACTTGAAAAATTAGTTGAAAGGCCTAGTATAAGGTTTACTGTATTTGGACTCTATTCGTTAAGAAAAGCACTTTAGTTTTGACAAAATTTAGCCTCTAGTCATGCCAAGACTCCTCGAAAACCAATGTAATGTTGCTGTTTGGATGCTTCAAGCTGGAATGGCACAAAATATCATTGCGATACACTTTGGAGTTCATCGGAACACTATTCAATCACTATGGACACGTTTTCGACAGACTGGTTACAATCAGGATCGACCACGTTCTGGGCGTCCTCGCGTGACGTCGCGTCGACAGGACAACCACATTAGACTTGTGCGCCTGAGAAATCGGTGTCAGACAGCAAGTTTGACTGGTAGAAGCATTCCTGGACTTCGACCAATCAGTCCAAGAACTGTGCGTAACCGTCTGCGCGAGCGCAACATCAGACCAAGACGTCCAATACTGCTTCAACGTCATCGTATCGCTAGACTAGCATGGTGCAGACGACATTTGAGATTCAGACTAGAGGACTTGGCCTATGTTCTATTCACAAAAGAGTCCAGATTTCATTTGGATAGCAGTAACGGCCGTTGTAGAGTGTATCGTCGCATAGGGAAGCGGTACCAGGACGCTTGTGTTGTGCAACGGCGACAATTCGATGGAGGTAGCGTTATGGTGTGGGGTGGAATCACAGCACGTGGAAGGACCCCTCTACAAATTGTAGATGGAAATCTCACTGGCATGCGCTATCGAGACGAATTTATTCAGCGCCATGTGATACCCTTCATACAGGGGCAGCAAATCACACCACTCTACAACAATTAAGACAACGCAAGGCCACATGTTGCACGTCAGAGACTTTTAGTTCAACAGCATGTCGATGTCTTGCCTTGGCCAGCTGTATCTCCCGATTTGTCGCCAATCGAGCACGTTTGGGATGAAATGGAACGACGTCTACGTCGTTTTTTATGGAACGCCATCACTGCCTTATAGCATACAACTATGCATTTATTATGTCAATTTACCATTACGTGATGTGAACATATCTTTACGTTATGTCCATTTTTTATGAGATGATGTAAATATATCTTAACATCATGTCAATGCTGCATTACAGGAAGTAAATACATCCTTTCATTATGTCAGCACTTCATAACTTGAAGTAAAAAATTCATTATGTGAAGTGATAATGTGTTTACATTGTGTTAAAACTTTATTGCGTGAAATGAATTTTTCTTTACATCATTTCATTTCTTTAATATGTGAGGTCAAAATTGTATTACGTCAAGTAAATTGTGTTTTATAATTAAACTTATCATTACATTAAGTCAAAAGTCCATTCATTTTTGAGAGTGTATATTTCTATTATATCAAAGCATTATTACGTGATATGGATTTATCTTTATTTTACGGCGAGGGCATCATGATGTGAGGTGAACACATCTTACCTTTATGTCAGTGCTTTATTACGTGGTGTAAAATGTGTATAACATAATGTGAACATATCTTTATATTATATCAATACTTTATTACATTATGTCAAAACTCCATTCCGTGACGTGAATATATGATTACGTTATGTCAACTC